TCTTAATATGATGATTCTAGAAGGTTGCTGTCCAAGCCGCAAGATATTTAATTCTCTTGTTCATGCTTATTGCAGATCTATGGATTATTCATATGCCTATAAATTACTCAAGAAAATGGACCATTGTGGATGCCAACCTGGTTATGTGGTGTATAACATATTGATAGGAGGTATATGTGGCAATGAAGAATTACCAAGCAAGGAAATGCTAGAATTGGCTGAAAAAATTTATGGGGAAATGCTTGATGGAGGGGTTGTACTGAATAAAGTCAATGTCAGCAATTTTGTCCGTTGTCTTTGTGGGTTCCAAAAATTTGAGGATGCTTTTCATGTAATTCATGAAATGATGAAAAAGGGTTTTATACCCGATGTTAGCACATACTCTAAAGTTATAGGTTTCCTTTGTGATGCCTCGAAAATAGACAAGGCATTCATGCTGTTTCAAGAAATGAAAAAGAATGGACTTGTTCCTGATGTTTATACATATACAATATTAATTGATAGTTTCTGCAAAGCTGGCCTAATTCAACAGGCTCGTAGCTGGTTTGATGAGATGAGAAGTGAGGGCTGTATGCCCAATGTAGTGACTTACACGGCTCTTTTACATGCATACCTCAAACAAAAGAAGATTTCTGAAGCAAATCAGCTCTTTGAATTAATGCTGTCTGAAGGATGTATTCCTAATGTTGTGACCTTTACTGCTTTGATTGATGGCTACTGCAAAGCAGGACATGTAGAGAAGGCCTGCCAGATCTATGCAAAGATGAAGGGAAGCGTTAACGCTTCTGAAGTAGATATGTACTTCAAGACAGATATGGACGGTACTGAAAAGCCAAATCTTGTTACATATGGAGCTTTAGTGGATGGCCTGTGCAAAGCGCATAAGGTAAAAGATGCTCGTGACCTTTTGGATGTGATTTCAGCAGAAGGACAAGAACCAAATATTCATATTTATGATGCACTAATTGATGGGTTTTGCAAGGTAGGAAAGATAGATGAAGCACAGGAAGTATTTTCCAGAATGTTGGATCGAGGATATGATCCAAGTGTTTTTACATACAGCTCTTTTCTTGATAGGCTTTTTAAGGATAAACACTTGGATCTTGCTATAAAAGTTTTGTCTAAAATGCTTGAGAGTTCTTGCTCCCCAAATGTTGTTATCTACACAGAGATGATAGATGGTCTATGTAAAGTTGGAAAGACGGATGAAGCTTACAAGCTTATGTTGATGATGGAAGAGAAGGGTTGTCACCCAAATGTTGTGACTTATACTGCCATGATAGATGGCTTTGGAAAAGCTGGTAAGGTTGAAAAATGCCTTGACCTTATCCAACAAATGAGTTGTAAGGGTTGTGCACCAAATTACATAACGTATGTGGTCACAATCAAGCACTGTTGTTCTGCTGGGCTTCTGGATGAGGCTGTCCAACTACTGCAGGAGATGAAACAAACATATTGGCCAAGACATATGGAAAGCTATCATAAGATTGTTGAAGGCTTCAACCGAGAGTACTTAATCAGTCTTGGCTTATTGGAGGAAATGAGCAATAACAGTTCTATTTCCATTTTTCCAGTGTATAGGATTTTGATTGATAGCTTTCTCAAAGCTGGAAGGCTGGAAGTGGCTGCAGACCTACATAAAGAAATTTCATCATCTTCTTCATTCTCATATCGTGACAAGAATATTTATGCGTCTTTAATTCAGAACCTTTGTCTAAATCTAAAAGTTGATAAAGCATTTGAGTTATATGCGGACATGATAAAGAAAGGTGAAATTCCAGAAATGAGCATCTTTGTTAACCTCATCAAAGGGCTTATATTGGCCAATCAATGGGAGAATGCACTTGAACTCTCTAAGAGTCTGTGTGACATGGTTAGCAACTTCTCACTCCATTTACTATCTAATTGGAGAAATATAATTATTTCATCTTTATTACTATTACTGTTGTGGGTTTTTTTTTTTTGGGTTGTTCAAATATGCTGTTGTTTTCACTTAATATTTTTTTAATTCAGGTTAAAATTATTAAGAGTGACATTATGAACCCGATCCAAAAGAATGAATTGAAACGAAGTAAAAACAGTTTTTGCCTTCCAAACGAGTATAAATGGAACCTTATGATTTTGCTCACAACTAAGATGCCTAAAAGTCCATTTTCTCAAAGTTTAATGTTTTCAATATGCAAAGTTTCTGATAAATGATGTTTTGGTTTTACAGGACAATATATTATAACATTTTCGTGTTTTGCTTCTGAACTTGTGTTTTAATCCTACCTATTTTTCTCCTAAACAGGATATTTGCTGGCTACCTGCTGTCAATAAAATGGATGGAAATTTGTAAAAGTTATCCAGCAATTGTAACGTGGGAACCTTCAACCCAAACACCATTGTCTTGGAATTTTTTTAAAGAAGAATTCCTGTACTTAATTTTCAACTTATAAACATTATATGGTTCCTCCCAACTGTATCCCATGTTTTGAGAAGTGCTCTTAACAGCTGGAGGCATGGTGAATGGTCATGGTCATTCTTATATATAAAACAGAAAGCGGTGCAAATATTAACGATGCCAACGCCACATATCATATCAAGGTTGGTATTTGTATTTTTGTTTACTTGAGTTGTTTCATTGGTGGTTGAGATTAGCCTCAGTGTGTGTATCTCGCAATTTGCATAGGTCTTGTTAGTCACTCGAGTAATTAAGAACCATAGGGAAAGTCTCATTAAACTTGGATTGAAATATGGTTCTTGGATTGGAACTTCTCAACCCCTTTGGCGGTCCTCTTGTTGCAGGTTAAGGTTTTTGGGAATAACGGTATCTAACAAGTTAGCGTAACTTCATACAGTGCTATGCATCATATTGCTTGGAGGGAGCTCCTTTTCAATAAAGAACTTCTAAACTTCTTGGTACCATCTTTCTCTATCTTCCTTTCTGGTCTCGTAATTGGGGTTTATAGCTAAAATAGAATTTATAGATCAGCATGTATTTTTGTGGTTCAGTTGGATCCAGGGCCAATGTCGGGATATATTTACGTGACGAAGTGGAAGAGCTTACAGTATGGAGTCATCTCCCTCGAGTCTCAATTGCCATTCTAGAGAGACTGATATGTCATTAGATACATCCATGAACAAGAAGAACAATCAGAAATCAAAGGGACTCACCATTCATCTCCAATGACACTTTTATTTTCAGGTATTTGTTATTCCTTGTGTTTTCTTCTACTGTCTGAGTTTGTGATAAGTTATCCAATTTTGTTGAAGAAAATCTCAAGATCAAATTACAAGAATAAAGTATAAAGAAATTAATGGTTATTGGCCCCCATGAAATGTTAGAATAAATACAAGTAATATATTATATTATTTACACCCAAACCCAAAAACGAAAAAAATCTTTTGTTATCAATTCCAAAACCATGAGGGTTTGAAAATTGATTTGTAAGTTATTACTATTAAATCCAATTAAATTGTCCTTAATTATAAATTTTAATTATTATTTAGATTTATTATTTTTATAATTTTTATAATTTTTTTTTATCATATTAGAAACCAAATAAGAAACAAATTCATAACAAACAACCTTATCTAATAATTAAATTATCTATATTAAATTAAATATGTAAAACTAATACTGCTGTTTTATGTAAAACAACCTTATCCAATATGGCTATCGTTTGCTTATGGAGTCGAATGATAATGGTCAGTCAAATACTGCTGTTTGGCGCAACATCTGGCAATTAAAAATTCCCCCCACTGTTCAAAATTTCTTATGGCGCTGTTTTCATGGCCTTATTCCTACAAGGTGGCTTTGGCTGCTAAGGGTATGGAGGTGGATGTTTCTTGTTCTTTGTGTAGACAACACCCAGAATCGCTAAGGCATATCCTTTGTGACTGTCTGCAGGTTGCTCCATTATGGCAAGATATCATTGGTTGTCCTCTCCCAAGCTTGGATGACGATTTCACTGCATGGGGCTATCTGGGAGGTTGGCAAATGCTGATAAGGTGTCTGTTTTGAATCGTGTGGCGATCTGTTGGTGCTTAGGGGCGAGAGAGGAATGATATTGTATGGAGACAAAAGGCTTGGCAGCCATTGGCTGTTAGAATGGAGGTGTTTAGAATGGCGAATGATTGGCAGCAGTTAGGTGTGGTGGCCGCTAGTGGAAGAATGGCCTCTCCTCATTTGCATGATATGAATCTCCCAGAAGATATGATCCAAGTTTTTGTAGATGCTGCGCTGTTATGAAGGACGGAAGAGGAGTTTATTTGTCAGCCAAGTCTGGTCCAGTTCGGTGTCTTAATGATGCACATACGGCGGAAGCAATGGCGATTAAAGAGGCTCTATCGTGGGCTAAGGATAGAGGCTATGTGAAAATCGAGGTTTTTTCTGATTGTCAGACTGACCGTGTGTAATTTGCTAAAGGGTTCATTGCCGGATCTCATGATTGCGGGATGCATAATTAACGAGTGCCGCGACCCGGATCTCATGATTGCGTGATGCATCATTAACGAGTGCCGCGACTTTCAACGACACTTTGAGATAGTGTTTTTCCAGTTTATTTCTAGATCAGTGAATAGAGCTGTCCATGCGTTAGTTAGGTTTGCTCGTTCTCATACTAGTTCGCATATTTGGCTTTTTACTATTCCTACACGTATTGGACTTTTGATTTAATGAAATTATTCCTTTTATCCTCAAAAATATGTAAAACTAACACTGAATTTTTAGAAATAATAATCCATATTGAAATGTTGTACCTTTTTATTTATTTTACCTGTAATAATAGTGTAATTTAATTTTATATTTATGTCAAAGAGTTTATAGTTGTTAAATATGGAGCACCACATTCTATGTTAAATTAAATATATAAATATATAAAATATGTTAAATTTGTATAAAATAGAATTTATAGATCGTCAGGATATTTTTACGAAGTGGAAGAGCTTAGTATGGTGGTACGAAGTGGAAGAGCTTATAGTATGGAGACTTTTACGAAGTGGAAGAGCTTATAGTATGGAGTCATCTCTCTTGAGTCTCAGTTGCCATTCATAATTCCTAGAGAGACTGCTATGATACATCCATGAACAAGAAGAACAATCAAACAATCAGAAATCAAAGGGACTCACCATCATTTTCAATGACACTTTCATTTTCAGGTATTTGGTATTTGTGATAAGTTATCCAATTTTGTTCCCGGTGAATATGGTATTGGTATAAGGAGCTTATGGTATTGGTATAAGGAGCTTAAGGGATGTTACTCTATAAAGAGTGACTACAGGCACATTGTTGGAGAATATGAGAATGTATCGAAATGAACAAGGGTGTGTATTTATAAAGTGAGAAGAGAAGTTTGCTACCACGAATATGAACATAATTCCAGGAAAATTTTGTTGGGTGTGTTACAACTTGATTCTTAATTAATTCGTCCCAATACTGATTTTTAATTCTCAAAGCTTAATTGTGTGGAACTGACCATTGACATAAATATTATGGCAGACATATTCCATGCATTTTTTATTATTTCTTTTTAAACTTGAGTAACATATGCATACAGGGGTAGACCCCTCCAAAAAATCAGTACCAAAATAAAAAGTCCTGGACACTTTGATAGATGGGTTTCCTTCTCGAAAATTAAAGTTACGTTCCCCTCATGGAAGACCTTTTTTGGAGAGCTTTTATGTGATATCCTCTCCACTACCAAAAATCTAATTATAAAGAGGGTAGATGTAGACCCAAAATGTCCTATGTGTGGTCTAAGTCATGAAAGTGTTATGCATCCATTTCTACTCCCCACTTTTGATGGTCTAGATTTCTCCTTGTGGTTTACATCTGTCTAGAGCACTATGTTCTATTAGAATGTAGTATCTGTTCATACTTTCTCAACCTACTGAAACACAAAGAGCCAATAACACCTCCACTGAGGCTCGAAATCACAATCTTCCAAATGGAAGTCCAACCCGGATACCATTAGACCACATAGTCCTGGTGAGGATCATATTGTTATGATTGTAGTAGTTCTATATTTCGTATGGAAAGCAAGAAATGCAGTTTTATGGGATGCTTGTTTACCACTGCTAAAAAAGACGTGGTCGATGGCGTGCTCATCTTTACTCGCATGGAGGCAGGTACACGTTCGGCAGGCATCATCTTCTGCAACTCCTGCCGCTCATCATGTTATTGCCCAGCCGAGCTGCTTCTTCGATGCAGGATATTGTCCAGCTACCGGGGACGCGACGTATGGCGCGGTCTTGCTGGCGGCTTCACGTCGGCGTGCAGTGGACGTCTAGCAGGCGGTCTCTCGCCTCTTATGGCTGAGTCCATGGCTTGCAAGGAGGTCCTCTCGTGGCTCAAGGACTGACCGGGGTTCTTTATCTGTTAGTCTCTTCACCGATTGCTCAGAGTTCGCATTAGTTTGTCCACTTGTCAAGATTCCATCTACTCATATGTTGGTTTGGTTATTGATTAGTGTAGAATCATTATGACTATTTAATTATTGCTCTATTAGTTTAGTGCCTAGATCGTCTAATTTACATTCTCAGACTCTAGTTTCAACCACCTTCTCACAGGCTAGCTTCAACCACCTTCTCACAGACTGACTCAATGTACTGGGATCTGTCCCTCCAAACTCGATTGCTTCTTTGATTCAGTAATCTATACTTTTGCTTTTGTTTTCAAAAAAAATTAATGGTTATTAGCCCCCATGAAATGTTAGAATAAATAAAAGTAATATATTATATTACACCCAAACCCAAAAGAAAAAGAAAAAATCTTTTGTTATCAATTCCAAAACCACGAGGGTTTGAAAATTGATTTTAAGTTATAACTATTAAATCCAATTAAATTTTCTTTAATTATAAATTGTAATTATTATTTACATTTATTATTTTTATAATTTTTTATTGGGTTTAGATATATTTTTTTATCATATTAGAAACCAATTAAGAAACAAATTTAGAACAAACAACCTTATGTAATAACTAGATAATAGTAAACTATCTATATTAAATTAAATATGTAAAACTAATACTGAAATTTTAGAAATAATAATCCATATTGAAATGTTGTTCCTTTTTATTTATTTTGTCCGTAATAATAGAGTATTATTTAATTTTATATTTATGTCAAGAGTTTATAGTTGTTAAATATGGATCACTACATTCTATATGAAATTAAATGGGTTAATTACTAAAATGGTCCCTTGACTATAGCGAAATTACCAATTTGATCATTGACTATTTATTTTTAACCAATTAAGTCTCTCAACTTTAAAAAATTTAACCAATTTGGTCCTCCCTCATCCGTTTGTTTGACCGTTAGTCCACTGTTAACTTGGGACCAAATTAATAATTTTGTTATAGTCAAGGGACCATTTTGGTAATTAACTTTAGGAGTGGACAATTCGATTTAGTTTTCTTGAATCGAACTGTACCGAGCCAATTGGTTCGGTAAAAAATAATAATTATAATTTAATTATACAATCATTATAATACCACCACTATCTCCACCATATTCTATATTACTATTAAATGTTAATTAACTTTCAAAAATAAAATTAACAATATATAAAACAAATTAACACTCTGAATGAATATAAGACATGAATATTGATTAATAAATATAACTTAAAAATAAATTATATTTTAAAATTTTCAGGGCACCTGAGGGTGAAACGAAACATATATATACACTTGTTATATAAAAAGTAACCAGTTAGATTTAAGTCAATTGAGATTCAAATAGGACACCCCTTTAAAGGGTAGTTGGGATATTGTTATCCTTTCTGTGTTCTCCCTCCATTTTATATGGTAGAAACATAAAATGGAGGATCTAGAACACAGGAATTCTTCAGATTCAGATGGAGCTCATATTCATGATCTTCCTGATGAAGTTTTGCTCTTAATTTTGCGCAGATTAGAAGATGCCAAATCCCTATGTAGATGCTACCTTGTTTCCAAACGCTTCGCCTCCCTTATTCCTCATATCCACAATGTTATCTTCTCCATTCCCGATCCAGATTCATCGCCAATTAATTCCTATTCCAATCCTTCCATTTCAGATAATAATGGTGAAACACAAAAGAATTTCCCCAAGAATGTATTAAACTTGCTTTCCAAGCCCTTCCATTATCTCCGGCAGATCACCGGCGGCCCGTCATTGCCGTCGCCTTCCTCTACCCCGGCGTTTAACTCTGTCGCGTTCGTCAATGGGATTCGGTTCTTGAAGAAATTCAGGGAAATCCAACGGCTTGAAATCCAGACGCCATGTTTCCACGCTCAAGATCCATCTCTGTTGAAATGGGAGGCTGGGCTTGGGAAAGACTCCATTTTCTGCGTCAGCCTCTTCTCGTCCTCCTCCTCCTCCGACAACGACGACTTTTCCGACGAACTTCTAGCGGAGAACGGCGGAGGCGATCTGAATAATCCCGAAGCATTCGCCTTAACGAACGAGATGCTGAGAGACCGAGTGGAAATAGCGTACCAGTGTTTCATGGAGGCGCTGTGGAGGCGCCACGTTCTCCGGCACGTCGTCGCGGACCACCACAAAACGCTGGAGGAGGCGAGATTCACAGATCAGAAGGGAAACGGGAAAGTTTACTTGAGGAAAGAACAGGTGGCCAATCTGCAGGACTTGAGGGCTAAAGAACCGGTGGATTTGAGGGCTGCCGAGGCGGGGTACATGAAGGTGTGGCATGTTTCGGAGGTGCAAACGCCGAAAACGGGGCGGGTGATGAGAGGGGTAACGGCGGTGTTGATCGGGGTTTCAGAGGACGACGACGAAGAAAGTGGCGGCGGTGGCGGTGATGGGTGCATGGAGGAGGTTTTTAAAGAAGATGAAGTTTTGGGTGAGGCTTTAAGGATGATTTATGAAAGTATAAGAGATGATGCTCTTGCTGTTACCTTGGATCTCAATATTCCTCATTAAATCATGCATGTTGTTTCATAATACCTTATAAACTCAGGTGGTATTCTTCTGTACAATCCATGTATATTGTGAATACTAAATCAATAAGGTTTATTTTATTGGTGAAACTTTATAAAAACTTTTGTGACTTAGTTATATCTTTTTTTTTTGAATGCTAGTATCTGATCATAGTTACTTTCTCAACCTACTGAAGCACGAAGAGCTAACACCTCTATTGAGGCTCAAACTCATAACCTCTCATATGAGAGTCTAATCTGTTTGCCACCCAGCACAATGTGCTTGGCTGACTTGGTTATATCTAAACTTTAGTAATTTTATATCAATCAAAATTTTCAATCAAGGAGGCTTTTGATTCTAGTAAATTGGTTATATATATTTGTATACATGGATCCTACTTCGTACTTCGAAGCTACCTTAAAATAACTTATATTTTTTTTTATATTTTATTTAAATAAATAATTTTAAAAAAATTAAAATAGTTTACATGGTATTTATGTATACAAAGAAAATTATACGTAAAAATCACATCAACATAACCTGCAATAACAAGTACGGAATAATTTACAGGTAAAAATGTTAAAATTGCATTTTTTTAAAAATATTTATAAGGTTAATATGAAACTTTTTGTAGTTCAAGAGTGGTATTGATTTTTTTTTTTTTTAAAATACTTCGGGAGTTTATTTGACATTCTCCAAAAAAATAAAAAAGGCATGAAATATTTATTGTCTATTGAGCAATGCTTAAATCGTGGACTAGAGTTCACGTAATAATGTAGACCCTTGATACAAGTTCATTTTAATGTATTACGGAGTACATGCTTATTTTAATTTTTAATAGACTACAAATTAATTTATAGTACTGATGGAGAAATACACCAACTTCAAAAGAGTATCTTCGGTAATCGCATATGAATTTGTACTCGGCCGAACCCTAATTGGTTCGACCCGTATACATAAGCTTCTCAACCACATACTTACCTTGCTACCCGACCACATGAAACTGCGAAATCTGCTTCTTTGATTAGATCGAACATGAATAACCTTTAATTCTACCTTATTACTTTCCAAAGCAAAATCTGTTGTCACATCACTGCATGTAGACTAATAGCTCCACGGTTGACACATTACGTGATGAGAACAGTCGTTGAATTCCCATGCCACACGTGGCTAACATGTCGGAGGCCCAACATGTGTTCTTTCCTTTTTTTTTTTTTTTTTTTTTTTTTTTTTTTTTTTCCTATATAAGGATCATTAAGTGCACGTTGAGGGAGACTTTTGGACCAATTTGCATATAAAAAGAGGACCAGACCAAGCCGATCAGAAATGATTAAATCCCATCAAATCCCATCAGATATTGCACAATATATGACCCGAAATAGACAGTACAGTCGAATAAGTTACATCAAGTACACTAATTAAACTTGCAATACACTTAAAACGAACATGTAATTTATTAAAAATGAACATATATTATGAGGGAAAATGACATTTTTTCTTCCTGTGTTGTTTACTAATAGCACATTTCCCCCCTGTGTTGTTTATGTAACCACTTTATCCCCCACAATTGTTTTTGAAGTGGCTATTTTTCCCCTCTCCATTAAGTAAGTGTTAGGGCTGTTAAATATGGGGGTAAAAATGACATTTCACTTCTTATTATTATTATTATTATTATTATTATTATTATTATTATTATTATTATTATTATTATTATTATTATTATTATTATTAAGTCCCACCCAAGGCCCTAATATACTGCAGTACTCCACGCCTAAAATGCACAGTTATATTGCAAGCCAAATTCATTAATAATAATAATAATAATAATAATAATAATAATAATAAGTGAAATGCCATTTTTACCCTCATATTTAACATCCCTAATCCTTATTTAACGGAGAGGAGGTAAAATAGCCACTTCAAAAACAATTGAGGGAATAAAGTGGTTACATAAACAACACAAGAGAAAAATGTGCTATTAGTAAATAATACAGGGGAAAAAATGTCATTTTTCCTATTATGATTCATTTGTAATACGAATTTCGAGATACACGATATAATTTATCTAGATTTGGGCCGGGTAAAAATGCAGTAAAATGACAAGCCCACACCATGCTAAGCCTAAGGGTTAGAATTAGTGAATTACACCAAAAAAGGAATAGTAATTAACTAATTTACTGAGTTAAAAACTTATATAAAGTGAAAAAAAGAAAGAGACGACGAAGAGGAAGAAGAAGCGATCAAGTTGAGTCCAAGTAGGCATCGTCTATCACGTCTCCTTTTCCTTTTCAATTAAACAATAACCCAAGAAACCTCCTTACCCCATCATTCTCTTTCCCTTGTCATCAAATTCCAAGAACACAAGAAAACAGAATCACAATCCCTTTGGGTTGATAAGAAAAATTGAATATATAACTTGTTACTTTCTGCTTGTTTTTTAAATTCAAATTAAGCTCTTTTTTTCTATTTTTAGTATTTTTCTAGTTTATTGTTGATAATTTGAGCTGGGCATTGACGGGGACAGTGATTCTCCTCTTTGCAGGTAAGTTTTTTTTAAAAAAAAAAAAAATCAATTTCCCTTTTTATTCTATATGTGTTTGTTTTGAATTCAATTTTGTCGATTTTGGTTGTTTTCTGGGAATTTTGGGTAGAAGAGCTTGTTTTTGCAGTTAATTTTGTATTGCAAGGATGGATAGTTTAGTTTGGTTTAGCGAGGTTTGAGGATGAAATGTTTATGGGGGGAGGTTGAGGCTTTTAGTAATAGTTTCTGCTTAGAATTTGTGTTTTTGGTATTGGGATTTTGGTAAAGATTGTTTCTTCTACTAGAAAATTAAAGGAAGTAAAAGAGCTCAACCCTTATTTGTTGAAATTCTTCCCATGTTCATGGAGGATGGTACAAGAAGAGATAATATGAAATGTGGGTCTTCCCACACATTTGGATAACTCAGAGATTTTGGATTGTTCTGAAACATTGAGGGAGAAGGTTAATGAGAAGGAACAGAAAAAAGGATTTGTTTGGAAATTAGAAAATCAAGAGGGTTGGTATTGGGTGGGATGAGATGAAGAACTATATAGATTTTGATTTCATTATGCATTTATAGTAAATCAGAGTTTCCCCTTATGGTTATTTTTCTCTTGGGCAGTTTGGAAACCCAAGTAGAATGCTTGTTGGGTTGTAGACCTTGTAGCTCCTTATAAATAGTTTCTGTATAATGTTGAATTATATTTTCTCAATTAGTAAGTTTTGAAGGAATTCTAGTAGAATGATGTTTTTGATACTTCTTTTTCATCCCAGCAACATGGCTTAATTACCTCCTGTACACGGAATGGACAGGCCGTGCTTGCTTAACATCAACATATATAAATGATGTTTAGCGGGTCAAAAGCTGCTCATGGCCTTAACATATTTAGATGGAAATGGCGTGGTGAATCATCTTTAACTACAGGCTTACTAGATGATGTGCCTCCTGAAATCGAGTTGTCCGACTATCACAGAGCGCCAAGTGCTGGTAGTGAAAGCCCGTCTGGTCTTCTTAATGGTGAGAGCTTCAGTGTTGAACCGATTGCTGATCTAGACCTGTTCTTTGAGAGGCTTTACAGCTACCACTGTGAGAAAGGGCTATGGTGCATTATCATCAAGTGGATTTTTGAGCTTTTGGGACTGGCTTTCACCACATTCTTCTCTGCATTTTTCTTATTAATTGTTGATTGGAATGGGCTTCGCAATGCAAAGTGTGGGATGGATGCTGTAGAATCTGGAATTAAGCCTTGCGATCTATCTAAGGAAGCTCTTCATCAGCATCCATTGACACCTTTTACGGTTTCTAAAGCTATTGTTGTTGGTTACCTTGGAATCTTTTCCATATACTGGATCTTTTGCTTCTTAAGATTCTTTGCACAGCTGAAGGACACCTTAAAAATTCGGGACTTTTACTACAACAGGTATATAGTATTATGTAATTCTTCGTCAAAGCCAAAAATAGTGAGAATTCTCTGTTTTGTTTTTTCCCTCTCTTCTATTAGTTGTAAAATATTGGATTTTATATGATGTCGTACTACTTTCCGCCTATCAAAGGGTTGGGAATCCTCTTTGTTGTGGCTAGCTAACTTAGCCATGCTTTATATTTTGCAGTCTCCATGTCACAGATAATGAAATACATACCATGCCATGGGCATCGATTCTTGAAAAAATTGTTCAATTACAGAATTCGCAACAACTATGTGTGGTCAAAGATCTTTCAATTCAGGATGTGGTTATGCGATTGATGCGGAAGGAAAATTATTTGATTGGAATGGTCAACAAAGGAGTGCTTGCATTCCCTATTTCTCCATGGGTACCTGGTGTTGGTCCTGTCAAATTTTCTTTGAGTGGTCTCCAATATCGTCTGATGCTAACAAAGACCCTAGAGTGGACACTTAATTGGTGTATACTGCAGAGCATGTTTGATAGGTATGTTAGCATATAATCCAAAATCATACTGAAGTAAAAGGCGAGAGTGACCAGCCTTTAATTTTCAATAATTGAAACTCACTATAATTCAAGTAATATGCATTTATAATTGAATTCAGAAGCTGACTATGCTCATGTAGCTCCACACGATAACCCATTGTCACTCTCTTTCTCTATCTACTTTATCGCAAACTTAAACACTTCTATCTGTATTGCTCTTGGAGTTGTTGTGGAAGACTATATTGTTTATCTGGTTCTGTGAGTTAGGCGTGTAACTGTGTAAGTAGATGATCTATCATGCAGGGTGAAAGTGTGATAATGGTTTTGGATTAATACATATATGAGTTAGGCATATGGGGGTGTTTGGTAAATAATTGTTAGTTGATTGGGTTAGTTGGTTTGACTAGTTGATAGCATTAGCTGATTGTAGAAAGATGTTTGGTAAATTAATTGTTTACATGCAAAATGACTTTGGCCCTATTTGGTAAATGGTTGTTAGCTGATTGGGTTAATTAGAGGGTATAACTAGTTGATAACATTAGCTGATTGTAGAAAGGTGTTTGGTAAATTAGCTGTTAGCTGATAGTTGATAGCTGTTTGGTATAATTTCTTTTCTGAAAAAGCTAAATGAAAAGTTGCTTTGAGCAGCTTTTTGAATTTTAGCATTTTGGAGTTACAAAAAGCTAATTAACCAAACACTTATATTGATTTTTTAACCAAGTCAAATAGCTAATAGTGGTCAAATAAGCCAAAATTGGCCTATAGGCTAATTATTTTACCAAACAGGGCCTTTCTCAAAAAGCTGATTGAAAAAGTTGCTTTGAGTAGCTTTTTGAATTTTTAGCGGTTTGGAGCAATAAGCTGTTACAAAAAGCTAATTAATTAAACACTCATATTGACTGTTTAACCAAGTCAAACAGCTAATAGTGGTCAAACAAGCCAAAATTGGTTGATAAGCTAACTATATTACCAAATAGGGCCATAATTTGAATGATGCATCCTCCGGGATGGATGTAGTGATATATTGTTCTTCTACGATAGCAGTAATCTCATCTGAAAAGAATATGTTGAAGAGAATTCAAGCATCGGACATTTGAGTTATCTGCATAGAGTTTGCTCATTACTAGTTACTAGAACTGCTAAAATTAAGTTATTAGTGAAAGTTTTCTTTGTAGCTTAACTGAATGCTTTTGCTTCTGCAGGAATTATTGTGTAAGAAGGGACTTTGTGTCCGATCCTAAAACATTAAAGAAAAGGCTTATGATTGTTGGAATTGCAATGCTTTTTCTTTCCCCATTTCTTGTCATATTCATGCTGGTGTATCTCTTCTTGAGGCATGCTGAACAGTTCTACAATCATCCAAGTACAGCGTCATCCCGTAGGTGGTCAACTCTAGCAAAGTGGATGGTTAGGGAATACAACGAGGTACCTTCTCCTTTTCATATAATCTTGATATACTGAATTTGCTGAAAGTCTGTGTTGAATTTGAAAGATCCAAATGCCTGGCAGGTGGAGAATAACAACCACCTGCTAGTTAGGTGGAAGTAGAGATGAAGAATTAAGGAATGAGAAAATATATATTGTGTGAAAGTGAATAGAAAGTTTATATATAGGAAAGTTTAGAAAGGGGAATACACAGCCCTATAAATACATGCTAGAAGACTTTTAATAAAGAAATAAGTTTCCATATGACTACTTACTCAAATCCCTATAAATCTCAAAGCGGCCTAATATATATAGGTTCCATATTACTTGTACATTCCATAATAGTCTAAAACTACATTGGCTAAATTTTTTTGGTTAGACCACGAGGTGTCCTAAGCAGGCTCTAATTGTAGGAGGCACCTCTAAGCCTGTACCATACTCAGACTAATTCTCGTTCGCACTGGGCTGACCCAATTAAGGGGCAAAGTGCTGGCCAGATTGGTTTTTCCATACAAGAGGGGTTTGAACTCCCAACCTCTCTTAATGCAGAAGAGTGCATGGCCACTCATGCCAACCAAGCTGGTTATATTGGCTAAATTTGTTCCTTCATTCCAACTAACTCATCCGCCCCGCCCCCCTACATGGAGCTGTTTTTTCTGTCTTGATTGGAGGCGGCCTTCTCTTGACAATTGTGTTTCCTTAAAGTGAGGGAAATTCAATTACTGGACTAATAGTTTCAAAGATTCTTTTTGATAATTTAAGTATTTAACATCTCCTTATTGGACAAATTGCATTTCTTTCTGTGTAACCCTTTCCTTGACCGTTGTGTTATTCATGCAATGTTTTATATTACAATTTACAAGCATATCTTGCAGTTTTCTGTAATGTCTTTAATCTTCAACATCTTCTACCAATCCTTGTTGAATGTCCCCCCAATCCTCATTATAATTTTCTCTTACACTCCTAAAACTAATGGACCCACTATTACATTTTGAATGGGTAAACTGTAAACAAACCAAATCTCTTTACTTATCCAAAGAAGAATAAAATCAAAATCAAACCAAATCTATGTTATTTTTCAGATCATTGGGCCTACTTATTACCAAGTTTAAGGTATGTTTTATATGATTAACAATACAAAAGCTATGTTTTTACCTCAATAGCATGCCAAGTCAGCCTAGACATAAATGGGTTGGTCATTATCTTGATCTCAGTTCTCTCCCTTTCCTATTTCTACTTCACTTATGCTTTCTTGTTTGCCATCGTTTTGTTTCAGGTTGACCACTTATTTAGGCACAGGATAAACAGCAGTATAGTACATGCATCTGATTATCTGAAGCAATTCCCCTCTCCTATTATATCACTGATTGCGAAGTTCATCTCTTTTGTTTCTGGTGGTTTTGCTGCTGTTCTTATAATCATTGCTTTCCTAGATGAATCTCTGCTGGAAGGCCATGTATTATTCCCCTTTCTTTAATAAATAAAATTTTAATTAAAAACTTGTTAATTTAACCATTTGATAGTCTATTCATCATGGAATTTGTTATGAACCTTACAGATATTTGGTCGCAACTTGTTATGGTATGGAGCGGTTTTTGGAGCAATCACTGCTATTAGTCGGGCTGCAATAACAGATGAACTTCTTGTCCTTAATCCACATGAGGCGATGTCGCTTGTAGTCCAACACACGCATTATATGCCCAAGCGATGGCGAGGGAAAGAACATACTGAGGGTGTCCGGTTGGAGTTTGAAACTCTATTTCAGGTGCTTATTTGGCCGATGAGCTTGCTTATGATCTTTTTCTAATGTCTTGATTTTTTCCAATCTTGGAAGTTGGCCCTTAATTGTTACTTTATTGGTATAATAATCATTATAGTTGTTTTTCTTTTCGCTCATTTTGTTGGCAATTTTGATTGATTTACCCTACTTTAGAGGTTTGGTTAATATGAATAAACAAGTCTTCGCTTGTTATCGCTTTGCTTATCTTTAGGGTTTAGGCTCTGATACCATGTGAAAGTGTGAAGGGTTTCATCTATTTCTCATAAAAGACTGTACAGAATACAATAATTTATACAGGACAAGCTATAACCTAATGGGCCCACTATAATGGGCCTAGGGTTTCAACACCCTTCCTAACTTTTAGCAGTGGAACTGATTTTGCTAGTTTCTGGATTTCTTTCGTTTGTTATGATATGATTGACCCGCTATGCAGTATACTGGTATGATGTTGCTGGAAGAGATGGCTTCGATCTTTGTTACGCCTTACCTACTTCTATTTGTCGTTCCAAAGGTAATTGCGTATGAATTTTAATTATAGTTCTCGTGTGATGCTACTTGAGAAATCTTTAGATGATGATTCTTCGGGTTGAGCAGCTGTTTGGTGTTGCAGAGAGTGGATGCTATTCTGCAGTTCATTACGGATTTCACGGTAGATGTCGAGGGTGTTGGCCATGTTTGCAGGTTTCGTTTTGTACCGTCTCTTATAATTTGCCACTCATCCTCCCGTTTAATATTTGTACTGTTTTCTTATTATTATGTTCCTCGCAGCTTTAGTGCCTTTGATTTTAGGAACCATGGCAATAGCAAATATGGTTCGCCCTTTAATGCTCCCCGCGCCCAGAGGAGTTCCCAGGGGAAAATGGAAAAATCGTTCTTGAGGTCCGATTTTCGACATTTTCCAATGTTATCAAATCAATCCTTTTCGTTTCGTTGCTTAGTTGGGCGTTTTACGATTGCGTTGTTTCTTAATGCATATGCAGCTTTCATACTAGCTACCTCTCCCCGGAGCCCAACGCTGATGGGAAAGAATTCCTTTCGAGATTGAAAGCCTTCCGAGAACAGAAGCTGCGTGGGCAGGAAATCAGACCTGCGTATCCAACCGGACCAACCTCGAGATTTCAACCGTGGAATCTCAACTTTAGAGGCTCGAGTGACAGGAATCCCTATTTCTCGAGGGAGATGAACATCGATAACTTGGGGGGCAGGTATCAGGTGGACTCGATGTGGCTGATGGCGGGAGAACAGAGAAGTTATCCTTATATTCTCGACTGGTATTATACCTCGTGTCCTCACGACATGACCGATGGTGCGGGACCCACTCAACGTGATCAGTTTGATGCGGGTGAGGAAAGCCTTGAAGATGTTTGGAAGCGATCCGATTCATCGCAAAACAAATTAGGCGACGAGAATTGGGGGCACACATTCGACGATAGAACACAAAGCCACCTCGATGCTTCAACGTCCGCTCCTCTCTTCCGGGAAAGCAGCGTCCTGCAGCAACACGACAACAACAACATGGCACATTCCCCAAAGCGGGACTGGTGGGCTAGAAGTAGACCGCAAGTTCGGGATCCCCAGACGAGCTTTCTCGAGCCTTCTTCCGCTTTCTTCAACCGCGGTGGTACTCAGGCAAGCTTTCTCGAACCTCCTCCTTTCATTAACCGTGGCCCTCAGACAAGCTTTCTCGAGCCTACTTCTTCCACCCACCATCCTCAGACAAGCTTTCTCGAGCCGTCAACTCTCAACCGCCATCCCCAGGCGAGCTTCGTTGAGCCCCCGACGACCTCCGACCGATATCCTCCTCGAGATAATTATGATACCTCCTCTGACAGAAGTGTAGATGAACAGGAAAACCTGGATTTGAGGAACTCGAATAGGTTGTTGACACGAACGTTCTTCATGGATGAATCGGGGGGAGACTTTAACCTTCCTTTCGATGATATTTATGGAAGGCGTTCGGCAAGCTCCAGTAGGAGGAGCTCAGATGATGCTGCAGATCTCGTGTGATTGCGTGGCGTGGCTTTTCGTTTTTCTAACAGGAAGTGGAACGTTCTTTCCTGTACATAAAATTAGTTTAAAGGCTCTTTGGGTTGATTATTTGGACAGTGATTTAGATGCCCAGTTCAGTCTCTAATCCTCTGATAAAGTAAACACGTACTATAAATTTGATTGATTATCATTGTGGTCAGGTCCAATGAAATATTTGTACATAATTCAAGTTCGAATTCATAAACGTTAGTTCATTCAATGATAGCTGGTAGTTAGTATTTGAATGATGATTGACAACATTGCATCATTATCTTGTTGTTCCCAAAAAAGATTGGGTCTCCAACCCAAGGGCCTCCCACGCTCTGACTTGACAGAACATTTGGGGGGATGAGGCTAGACTTTTACTTACTGTGCATAAGGAGCTCCCTCACTTTGAGATGTTGCTCTCAGCTCGTGAGACCTGATTTTGAATCATTTTACCTCTATGACCAACTGAGCTGACCAAGCGGGTTATTGCATCATAATCTTGGCATGTAATGTGGATGGCATCTACTTAGCAAATCCCGCAAAATTTGTTAAGATTCTGTTACAATTCATAATGCGTTAATACTGCCCCCACTGGGAGTCACTTCATGCCACTAGACCACAAGGTCATTCGCCTCTCATTTTATCACTACAATAATACTTCTTTTTATGTGTCAGTTGGCCAAGAAAAAAAGAATATAGTAATTTTTTTTAACAATTGTTTACTTACTTTTTTTCTCCAATAAAATGAGTAATGCGTTTTAGAATACACTAAGCATTTTTTTATTACTAATTGCAGTGAAATTTTGTGTGGTGGGTTTATTTAGACTGAACAATGTCGCTTGTATAACATTTTGTATTAGTCAATGTGTTTTTATTTAATTAACCTATAGTGAGATTATTAAGTTTATATACAACTAATAAAGAGTTGTAGTGAGTTACATTGTGTGCACAAAAACTCAAAAATGATTGGGCAATAAGAGTCATGAATGTGAACTTGCGAAGAGAGCACACACTTGGGACACTGTAACAAAGATACATTCCAAAAAAAAAAAAAAAAAAAACTTTTCTTGGCTTAAATCCACTACCCAGAAAGTTTGTGTTGTATACTGTACAAAAATTTTGACCTCCTATATGGAGGAGTTTGTTTTACTTTATACCAATTTCTGGGATAATCAAAACACTCAAAAAAAGCAGAAAAAGAAAAAAGGCAACTCTCTGAAGCCTTCCCCTAAAGCGGCTTAGGAGTTGAGAGACCAATCAAAATTCTGATAAACAACGTTGACTTGGCCACCATCACCCAAGAGATGTGTGAGAAGGCCTGCCTTTGTTGCATCCAAGTAACTTAATACCCACTTCAAGATTTCCTTTTGCTGTCCAAAATCGGAGCTATACCTACACCCATTGGGAGATAGTTGAAGAAACAAGTTAAGGTACACAGGAAAATGAAAGGAAAGGAATTTCTTGATTTCATTTCATGAGCTAAGGATAGTAACTTACCACTTAATTGTCCGGTTAAGGTACACAATCCTCTTGCTCAGGTCTACCTGCATTGCATCATCTCTCTGGAAAAACTCCCTGGCGGCATATCTTAGCTCAGACTCCACATTGTGAGGAGTGAAAAACTTGGCAGCAGGGCTTGACCGTGTTGCATTGCACACCCCGAAATGGATCAACGGATTTAGTTTTGGAAATGCCATCTGCAAAAGCCAAAACAAATGTGTCACTTGAGCAAATGATACAACAAAATGGCTAGATTTTGGCGAAACGATTGAAATTGGTGTGCATAATGCATGGAAACTATTCAGTATTAGGGAGGGATGTTTAGTTGTTTACCTCTAAACGCTTATCTCCACTGCCAAAAGGTTTGGTGAAGGAAAAAGGTGCTCTTTTGTTGTTTCTAAGAATCCCATCTTTGATTGCAGAGAGGGAATATGGATAGCCCCCAACTATGTACTGGAAGTCGGCAAAGAAGGGCCTCCGGTCAAGCATGCCCCCGGGATGCCCAACCCTGATCACGGCATGAATGGCCATGGCGTTGTACAAGTTGAGAAAGAAGGCTAATAATTCATTTGCTGAAAGTGTCTCAATATTCACTCTCTGCAGATCTTGAGCCAAACTTATATACCTGCATTAATAAACAGTCAATTTATTTATTTATTAAAAGGTTCATTATGTAAATGGTAAATCCACTTTGAAGAATACTATGAGTAGCAAAGCACTATCTACCTCCTAAATTCTTCACTGTTGCTAATTCCCATATAATCAAGATGGCGCCTGTCTTCAGAGGCATAAGTCTCAAGTATTGCAGACATTATTTTAGAAAGCCTGAGACCAAGAGCAGCACAAGTTTTGGGCTCATTATCATTTGTGGATCCTCGGAAATTGTAACATTTGGGAATGAAGGGCTCATGTTCAAGGAAGCGATAGAAATGGTGGTTTCCGTCCTCAAATTCGTTTTCCCTGTCATAGGACACTGAATTTAAAAGCTTTGTTCATAGTATTATTAATGGACGTTAGTGTCACGGGAAATTGCAGGCTCTTACCCAAACACATGATGAATGAAATGCTTTCTTGCTAGCTGCTTACCAATTTCAACAGCCTGTGCAATCATCAGACAATGAAAATTATTAGCAGAAAATCCAGGTCTCTGCATAATTATTCAATTAAAAAGAACAGCCTCTGAGAGGAAAAGTAATATAATTTAGTAGTGATATGTGAGCAAGTTTCCACATGTTAGTGCATCAATAAAAGAAAAATAAATAATTAAAAGAAAATTATTGATGTGACGTGACAAATAATGGTAAACTCTGTATACTGATTAATTCTTTTATTTTTAAATTTTATTTGATGAACTATGACTTAGAGCATCTCCATTTGAGGTTTTTTGTTGGTTTTTGTCAGAAAGAAAGAATCATGCATTAATTTTTGACTTATGAAAAGCATGATTTTTCATTGATTTTTTCTCTAGCAAATCAATGATCTTTGTGGGTTCCAATCAAAAGCCAAATGAAGCATTCTTCAGCACTGTTCACTGTCAGTTTTTTTTTTTCTTTTTCTCCTCCCTTTTCTCTTTTCTCTCTCCTCCTGGCACACGTGACCCGACAAAAACCACAAAAAATCTGCTACTATTGAGGATGCTCTTAGCCTCCTACTCTCCTACCCACTAATTCCTCTTAATTATGTTTGGTACAAAAGCAAAGAAGATTAACGGTAGTGGCTTAGTGCACGTAACTAAGGTCATAATGAAGCTAAAGACCAAAGCACAATGCTAATAGTCCCAACGCATGAACTGCCCCTGATTCGATCTGATATAGTTCATGGCCACCAATTAACAAAGTCAACTATTTGCATCAATTTCAAAACCGTGTCCGTGTTTCCATCATCATCACTAAACCAAAAATCACAATCACAAGACAGCAGTGGGACCCCAGAGAAGAGTCCGCATTCAATTTCTTCTGTTTGGAGATTGAAGTATTTTAAACTCTAGACTTTGATTACAAACAAAAGACGTGTGTCTCGCCTAAATCTGTGCCTGGCTGGTTCAATTTCTAAAATGACTTCAACGACTAATTTCATGGAAGTAATCAAACTGGTCAACTATGATTTATATATAGATTACTTCAACTTCAAACTTGTGTAATACTACCACCTACTAAGCACAGTATTGGGCAGACTAATTATATACTTAATCTGATACATCACTGGAAGTCAAAACACTATAATATCAATTGTACCTAGATCAGCATAGTTGCATTATTTAATAATCATGTGCAGTGTTTTAGGCTAGTAACAATAGTAAATTATGGTTTTCAGATCACATAAAAAACTGCTAGCTTAGCGTGCTTCTTTATCTTCACCCAACAAATGCATTGAGCAGAAAACCTAATAATGATTACTACTAATTCCATATTTCGCAACCTAAGAAAAGTAAATGACTTGAGCCATCATGCAACACATATGGGCATTATTATTAATGTTGGTTGTTAAGGCAAGTATCATTGGGTTGGTCCCAAGGAAAAACTTAAAAAAGAACTATTTTTATCAACTATAGTTTACACTAAATGATGTTATAAACTTCTAATCTTGAATATTTGTTAATTATAATTGATAGATTCTATTATGAGTTTAATAAGATAATTTTAAAGTAATATCATTAAAATAAAAATTTTGACCAACAATTTGGATATCCATTTAAAAAGTAGAAACATTGTTGTTCCCAAAAGGTTGAATTCTCAATTTCTAAGGGCCCTCACGCCCAGACCCGAGCATATGTGAGGATGTAAATCATGGTAACTCGGTTGAACACGGAAGTTAGACTTTTGCTTACTGCGCACAAGGAGTCCCTTCACTTTGAGAGGTTGCTCCCACATTATCATTGGTGAAACTTAATCTCGTATCATTGTTTTCAAACTACACTTATGTGACTAACTGAGCTGCCATGCGGACTAAAAAGTAGAAACATGATAGTGAACCTAGCAATGATTCAATTTAGGTGCTCAAGAAACATGTGCTAAAATCTTTGCTGTACGTTTTACCATTATTTTTGGAGCTACCAAACTTTAGAATGGGCCATGAGAATATTTATTTAATTTTTGTCATAAAAAACAGAGTAACATATTTATAAAAATTCGTTGTTCAACTACAGTCTACGGATATCAACACAAATGAAGAGCCATTCAAATCCAAGGAGTAGCTAGCATTTAGGTGTGACTGTTTACCAATTGTTTAAAACAAAATCCATATTTGGTCAACACATTCTACCAATTAACAGAATCATAGATAACAATCGTGTATAGTGACAAGATTTAGCTAACTATATTTTAGATAACTATGCATATTTTACAAGATTCAACCCATTACAGTTACCACCATTAATTTAGTTCTTTGAATATTGAAGAGTGTTTTGGACCACAAATTAAAGCCTCTAAACCTTTGTAAGTATACTGAATTTGGTCAGCAGACAGCAATTTAATCTATACTCATTACCACTTTAATGCCGTCCTCTAATTACTAATATGTCAGTTTGAAAAAAAAAATCAACATTTCCTAATTTAATGATCTTGGTCCAATAAATTTAAATAAAAAACTGATTGATTAATGAACCATTTCCCAAACAAGCATCACTACAATAATATGAATTTACAAATTTCGTTGATTTTTTTTAATTGCACATCACTACTACCAGACAAATAACGAATTGCGACGGAAAATAGCGACGAAAACTATTTCAGTATAAATGAAATAAGATTTTAATAAAAATAATTGTTTAAGAGATATTTAACTTAGTAATTGAAATATCCCTATTCCCAAAATAGTTGAGTTTTAAAAGTGGTAGTCTAAAATGTGAGTGTAGTAATATTTAATTGAAATAAAGGGAAAATAATAATGTTTAAATTCTCTAGATATTTGAACTTTGAAGCATGAGTGACATGAATTTTACATGAATCACCAACCCAAGTTAATTGCAATATGCCAAATTTCACGACGACCGAGCGCGCCTGGAAATTTTAATCTACAGGCACGAGGCATGTATCCACAAAGTTATGTGGATCCTATTGTAAATTCAATACTTAAATAATGTATTTTTAATATATTAAAAATGTACATTTATTAATAAAAAATATATTATTTAAGTATTAAAAAGGTTCAGTACATAAATAATATATTTTTAATATATTAAAAATGTACTTTTTGTTATGTTTCTGTAGCATTGTAAGTTCACTGTATAGCATCTTAGGGTTGTACATCACGGTAAAAGTATAGTGCTACTCCAAATTAAACAAATTTAATTTAAAATGAAAATGGTGATGTGCAGACAAAGACTTGCAGAATATGAAGATCAATGGTGATAAACCAAAAAGAAAGGGACAAATTATCATCTAATATAGACAAGCAAGTAGCATAAAATCTCAAAATAGCAAAACGCCAAAAGCGTACCTTGCGGCGTCCGCAGTCCAGGTGGTGTATCAAAACCTCAACGAGTTCACCGCCGGCGAAGCAATTCTTCACTATCTTCATCCTCATTAACCGGTCCTGAATCGGCAGCTTTTGCCTCACCACTCTCATAATCTCCGCCATCTCGTCCCTCCGGTTCTCTGGTTCATCGAATCCGTAGACGGGCGGCGACGGCGCATCATCCGGACACTTCCCGGACAACATTTCCGCCAGTTTCTTCTCCAGCATTCCACTGTTCCGTAGCGAATTCAAAGCCACGAGTCCTCCCAGCAACTTCTCGTTGAGGAAAATCTGCGGCACAGTTGCACTCCCCGTCCTCTGTACTAATTCCTTCTCTTTCTCCGGATACACGTCGACGTTGATTTCCACGAAATTGAGCCTTCTCTCGCGCAGGAACAACCGGACGGCAGTGCAGTCTCGGCAATTGGATCGCGAGAAGAAGGCCACTCTTCCGAGGAGCCGCCGCGTCCCCTGTTCATCCTCCGGCTTCAAGTTGACGATCACTTTGAGGCCGGACAGGTTGAATTCCGTCACTTTGAAATCGGACTTGGCCTTCTCGTCCTCAGGCGATTCCCTCAAAGACGATATCCGCCTAGTGATGGCCTCCGATAAGCTGTTACTCTTCTCCCGAAAGAACTTCCCAATCGCCGGCACGTCGAAACTCTCCGGCATCGACTTAGACCGTTCCAGGTCCCTAGGCGACACCGGCGCAGCCACTCCCGCCGGCGCCTCCGGCTGCGGCAGCTGCGAATGCGGTACAATCATCTTCAGAACGGCTCCGGCTCCGTTCGCTTCCTCAGAACAAACCTCCTTACAATCATCAGAAGCCGAATTCTCATCCGCTGCGTGAGAATCGGAGTCCAAGTTATCAACCGTATCCGATATTTCTCCACGATCAGTTGCGGCTTCCTCAGTACTCTGACTCCTCTCCCCCTCGGCAGGGGCAGCGACGTCGTCGTTTTGGACGGAATTAATCTTCTCCTTGGCCATTGAAACGTCGTCCAAAGAGATTGAATCTCCCATTTGCAAACACTCTATAGGAGAAATGAAAATTGAGGAGAGATTGAAGAGAGATGAGAGAGATGGATATAGAGAGAGAGGGCGGTTATGTTGGAGGGAGCGAAGGTATTGGGGAGGTATATATATGGAATAATTGTATGCAATTAAAGAAAATAAAAATTGAATTAATCACAGCAGACTTGGTTCCAGGGAGGTAGAAATTGATGCCTTGATGGAAAACTTCAAACAATATGAACGGATAAAATCGAGGACTAGGTCCGGTCACCAAATAGAAAAATTCTAAAAACAAAATCACTATAATCAAAATAATTAATCATATAAGTTTTTTTTTTAAATAATCATAAAAATATATAAATTAATCAATTATTACTTACATATTTATTCTCTATTTCTTTTTTGTTAAGAAATAAAATCAATATGTATTAAATATCTCTTTAAAATTATCTTATTGAGATATTTTAATTGACACATATATTAATACTAGTTTTTTCTATGTGGGATGCGCAAAAATATATGCTCAATATTTATATTTTTAAAAATTAAAAATATATGCCATATATATATATATATATATATATATATATATATATATATAGTCATGTGCATAGGTTTATTAATTAATAGAGCCTGGGTTCGAAACCTGATGTTTACATGTATGCTAGTGTGTGTATTAACTTATGCACATGATACTAATTTATTGTGTGTTCAATATTTGTCTGCACAGTTCTCTATATATCACTGACCTCATGTGAACTCAACCATATATATATATATATATATATATATATATATATATATATATATATATATATATATATATATATATATATATATATATAGATTTAGGTTCTCGTGCGGGTGACCAAGACTATGTGGTCTAATGGTACCCGGGTTGGACTTTCATTTGGAAGGTTACGAGTTCGAGCCTCAGTGGAGGCGTTATTGGTTCTTTGTGTTTCAGTAGGTTGAGAAAGTATATGAACAGATACTACAATGTAATAGGTAGGGCCAGTAACATTCAAAAAAAAAAAGGTTCTCACGTCCAGGATTATCAAAGTTTAAAAAAAAACGCGGTGGTAATTTTGTAATTTTTGCATCTTGGTCAAAATTAAGGTGAGCGGATCTGTGATTAATGTGCGTGAGTTTTGTGCTTAATGTGCGTGTGTTTTGTGCTTAATGTGCGTGAGGTTTGTGCTTAATGTGCGTGGGGATGTGCTTAACGTGAATAGTTGTTAAAAGTTAAAGTCTGTGAGTGAATACTTAAAGTGCGTGAGTTTTGTGCTTAATGTGCGTGATGTTTGTGCTTAATGTGCGTGGGTTTTGTACTTAATGTGCGTGAGTTTTGTATTTGGTTGTTGAAACTTAAAGTCTATGAGTTAATATTTAAAGTGCGTGGGTTTTGTACTTAATGTGCGTGAGGTTGTACTTAATGTGTGTGGGTTTTGTACTTAAAGTGCGTGAGTTTGTGATTAAGATCTAACACTTAAGGTGCACCAAGTCTCCGACTTGCCCTGGGCTTTGGCAAAACCCTCCAGCAAAGCTACGCTACTCCTAAGCAAGATAAAAGGAGAAATCCAAATTCAAAGTATAGAGTTAATGAGTTGAATGAGTCTCCTCCTCGCCTTCCTGGTATTTGCACATTGGGCTTTGGCAAGCGTGTTTTTTTTTTTATTTAAATTTTCATTGATTTGAGTCGTTGATCTAAATTTGATCAACTGCTCAGATTTAACCGCACAACCGCACGGGAAGCTATACCCGCACCTGAACCCTTCCCTATTTATAGATATATATATATTTTTTAAAAATTTGTGATATATTTGCAGTAGTTATTTAATGAACATATAATAGAGACTTTATGAATATAGAATAGTAACTTAATGAACTATGCTAGTTACTTTATAAACCTATAATGGTAACTTTATAAATTTACAATAGTGACTTTATGAATATGCAATATTCATTTTTTCAATTTACGATATTGAATTTATGTAACTAGAGTAATGAGTTTATAGAGTTGATCACATGGTGAATACTCCATTGACTATTAATTCTTTTGAAGAAATATATTTCATTAAAATATTGAATTTTGGTTTTTGAGACAAATCATATTTAATGCTTAATTTTTCTTAATGTTAAAATTTAATTTTAAAGTGTGAATTTTTCAAAGTTTAGTCAAATTGATTGTTAAAATTGCATCAACAATCAGCAGCCCAAGTAACCTTTTTTTCCCCATAATATCTCAAGTTTGAATATTGTAAATAAAACAATTAATTGATTTAATTTATTAAGTAAACCAAAAGTTTTTAAGGGTTTCCTCACTTTATACATATCGAGTGTATAGTGAATAATATTTAAAAATTGAAATAATTTCTATTTTATTTTTATAAAGAAAATAAAAATTTTGAGCTCAATTGCTCAATTAAACAGCTATTTGAAAAAACTTTATTCACTTGACCTTTTACTTGATCAAACTTCTAAGTATTGCTTTGAAAAGCTATACTAAAAGTTGTTTTCCAGAAGTGCTTTCACTAAGTCCGCCGGTGGGTCTTTCCATTCAATCCATATGGTCTACCCCTGACTAACTCTCTAACTTTCTTGGCCAATAATTTACTTTGCAATGCGAACCATAATTCACAATATAATTTGACGTTCATGACCAAACCAAGTTTGAACCCGTCGAGAAAAAAAAAAAAGGCATGACTTGAGCTAGTAACGGTTATTAGTTGTCAACTTTGAAGTTATATGTTCAAATTTTTGGGTGACGAGGGAAATCCGCAGCTACTATCCCAAAAGTATATATGCACTAGGTAAACTCGATCTTGTAATCATAACCAGCAAATGACCACAAAAAAGTAAATCAGTCTAGATTGTCTATAGTCGTTGATTGGTTCAAACAAAAAAATCAATAGATCACTTTCGTTGGGAGTCGAACTTGTAACATTGTGGTTACTATTTACTCAGCCAACAACTTCAAATTTTAATGTAAGAGAAAATTATTTTAAAAAAAATTAAAAACAAAAAGTATGGACCATCTCAGAATTGACCCACTACTAGAGGTCTTGGCATGGGACTGGCCGCCCTGTTCTAATAAGGCTAGTATCCAATACTCCATATAAGAGGCCTAAGTCTACTTCCAAGGGTTGGTTACATCTAATCTAATAGTTAATACTATTCAATGCATATTTATCTTAATTAAGAATAAAAATTTATTGCAAATTTAAAAATATAAAAGCCTTACAACGAACTAAATGTTGACACGTCGTCATTCCTATGTATTAGTTGTGGAAAATGTTGAGTTATTTTATAAATCAATCATAAATTATCGTAATTGTTCTTGTTCCAAAAGGTTAGATCCCCAACCTCAAGGGCCCCCACGTCCCGTCCTAATCCAGTTGAACACAGAGGCTAGATCTTTGTTTACTGGGCACAAGGAGCTCCCTCATTTTGAGAGGTTGCTCCCACAAGACTTGATCCTGGATCTTTGTTCACAAATTTCATCTATGTAACCAACTGAGCTGTCCATATGGCATAAATTATCTTAATTGACCTTATTTCACGGTTACAATAATGTTTTGAAGCATATAACAAAAGTATACCTTATTTGAATAGGTAAAAAACCACACGCATGAGTCATGACATATATATTCACGCACGCACACAATTATATATGCACTTGTTATTTAGTTTGATTCCATCAATTAACGACGTACTCAAAGTGTATTGAGCATGGTTTGGAAAAATCTACTTGCTTTGGATAAGATTATTTGACTTATTTTAACTTTTATATATATATATATATATATATATATATATATATATATATATATAATCATGTCAAATGAAAACAAGATTTCTTGTGATAAGCGTGAACTAATCTGATTGTTCATCTAAGAGATTAATGGCTAGAAATAAGAAAAAAAAAAAAAGGCGGGTTCATTTTATAAATATTACAAAATAAATTTCTTTAATTTTTTACTATTAAATATATTTGATCGATATATACCTAGCATTTGTCTACACTTCTTACGAAAAGTCTTGTTCTAATGAGTCCGACCATATATATCTATATATATACATATAAGATTTCAACTTTCAACATTTAACGTGATAAAATTTTATGTCTCTTCTTTTTTCAAGAGATAAAAAAATTGACAACATACTATCTAATTGAAATCAATATAATAATAGAATAGTCGTCACTCAAAAAAAACATTTGTTATGAGTTTGATAAAAAAAACTCAAAACCGCATATTAATTTTGTCGATTTTTGAGTCTTTTTACTAATGAACTATATCCAACATAAAAATCAAACTTAAGATTTTTTGTTGCGCGATCTATTTCGACCACAAATTCTTTAGCTTATTGTTTGATGATAATCTAGCTACTTACAAATGATGGTTAATTGAGTTCAAGATTGGCTCAGAAGGTCAGGAGTGACCAATTAGGTAAAACATAATTCTAGTTAGTACTTAAAAGTTATGAATTTGATTATTGTCAATACCGTCTCGGTCAAATTCATCGTCTAAAGTCTCTCTAGTGCTATTTACGGATAGGAGTTGAGGATTTCCAAAACATTGAAAGTTTAAGATGAAGGAATTGGTTACTAATTCAAGATCGCTGTTTGGAGTTTCAATAAATGATCATGTCAAACAACGTTATTTTGATTAATTCTCTGGTGACCAGGCGAGCGAATTGGTTAAGTGTTTAGTACAATATATGACTTAGTGGAAACCAAATTTAATGTGGAAAGAAATAGTCACCGAAGAGGAAAATGTTAACAAAAAAAAGGAGGAAAAAGAATAAGAAGAAGAAAGAGTACAAAGGCGGTGGAGAACACAACACTTGGGGCGAAACCGGCGGAATGACATTGACAACGTAAAACGACCTGCAAGGCCGACCAAGCACTCAATATACCTAAGTCAGCTGAATAATAAAGACACCTTATTACTTTTAATGAAATGAAATATTATCTTATTAATTAATAATTTATTATTAGGATTCTCAAAAAAAAATTATTATTAGGAAAAAAATTACTGAAATAATCAAGTTTGTGCATATCAAGTATCTTGTGCTCAGATGATACCTTTGTACTCTCCTTGAGGGAATG